CGCATTGCGAGCTTGATGAACCCAAGACGCTTTTGCAGCACAAGTTGTGTCTGTTCTCCCACAAAACAGAATAATGTGGTCATGAACTAGGCAGCGCAGAAGAACGAATAAGGCAGAATACCTCCTTCGAGTTCGGGTCTGTGAGGAATATTTCAGGTACTCCACCAGGGTAGACGATAATGCTGTGTTTTTCATTGAGCACCTTTTCACCAGTGGAACGTGATGCATCGACTCCACCCATCCACAAGCACATTTCTCGACCCAGTGGAACGTAGTACATTGCCGACGCACCCAGCACTATTACGCGCAGAATAAATAGTCAAGTTTTGTTGTGTAAATTCTCGATAAATGGTTTTACCTCTGTGGGTGATGCCTGGGAAGACACGCTCAAAGTTTCTGCCGGCGATAGCAAGACGTGAAAGCACGAATATCCCATGAGGGTGGAATCCGAAGATGTACTTCTTCTTGGAATCCAGCTCTTGCTCACGGAGGATTTTGATGCTGCTCACAGTTGAAACAGGTTAGTTCGAAATATGTTGAAAATCACATAAAAAAAATGATAGAAGTGAACGTACCGAAGAAATTTATTGGTGAGGTGCCACAGACTGGATGTACGAAGAGCTTCCCACACGTTCCCATTTCCAGTCTTCTGAGCACCGTTGAAGAACGAGGGCAGATACATGGCCACGATCGCGAAGCTCACGTAGTTGTATCCTTTCTGGCAAGTCAGTACAAAATGCCATGATTAACGTCAAAATATGAAAACAAAAAATGAGGAGAAATGACAAACATCAACTTTCCTTGTGCAAGTAGTAGAACAGTATAAGAAACGGCACATTCCACGCAAAATAATGCATAACGGCAAAGCTGAATGCATCGGTGGAAAGGTTCTGCATCCACTGGGGTACTTTGCTGTTGGGCTTGAAGAAACCGGGTGCCTCAAACACCAGCAGATTTCCATCAGTGGCGTCACGGTCTTTCGTCGTATGATCAGGCATGACACTGCTACTTTTGTAGTACGAAGCGTAATGTGAAATGGCTCCCAAATTGAACTGTGTCGCAGCAACCCATTTCAAAAAGTAACATTACGTCCCTCAGCAACAAACCGCAATCAAAAATCACCCCCATACGTCAACTTGTTGTATCGATTTCGTACACGCACTTCAAAGTATCAAATAATATCTGCTCAAGTTTGGATAGTGTATTCAATGCAACCCTGATTTTTACGCTTCGCTATGAACACGGAGATGCAGCCACTCTTAGCTTACAGCAGGCTGCTGGCGATAAGCGCCGCAAAAGCCGCGAAAACTGACACCTTGGTGGTGGAGGCAGCACTGCTGCTACTGCGACTGCTGGTCTTGCTGCCACTGTCGTCCGACAGCGCATTAGCACTACCCGTAGTCGAGTCCGTGCTCGAGTCACCCGCATCAGTTGAGCTGTCGGACGATCCGTCCTCCGACGAGGAAGAGGACGAATTGGAAGGAAGCGTCAGGTCCGGGAACGCCGAGGAGGAGACCTCGCAGTTATCACTCGACGAGCACACCATGCAGATCTGAGAGTACAGTGAGCGAGCGCAGCCGTTCGCAGCACTGGCGCACTTAGGACTGTTCTCTTCACACTTAGGATTGGCCTCCGTCAGCGTTTCAATAGACGGAAGCGGCGACATGTTGGCACTCGTGCCATTGCTGGCCAGTTCATTGTACATCTCCACCATCTTCTTGGTGCGTTTAGCGTTAGCCTCCTCATCTCCGGGTTTTTCCCAGAAATCGATCGACTCCTCCACCTTAAAGCCACTACCAGTATTTGTGGCCTTGAACTCCACACCGCCGTCTTCACAGAATTCCTCGTAGTTTTTGTAGCCCATCTCGGTAATACCGACCAGGTCGTCAATGTTCAGGTAACCAAGGATCTTGTAGCTGAACGTACAGCTGTCGCCATCAGGCTGAGTACCCATAGGGCAAAGACCGCCAGGGTATTGAGCACGACACTCGTCCGTCTTGTCGGCACGAAGCTCCTGAGCACAAGAGTTCGGGAACGAGAACCAGTAGTTGCCAGGGTACGGAGCACGAGGGTCCGACGTCTGCAGGTTGCTGCCTACC